TATTCTCAGGGGCTGTAATCTCTGGTTCTGTTGGCTATGGTAATTGAAAATTAGCAGCAGAACTCAATATGCTAAAAAAAAGAAAAAAAAACAACACTCGCAAACATGTGTAGTGTAACATTTTGATAATGTAATCTCAGTCCAGTTTTTACAGAAACAGAATTTCATTTGTTTATGTTCTCGCTGTTTTTCATTCAGTTTTTATTTGTATTGATAAACAATTGTAGTGTGTAAAACTGAAGAGACACAATCGTGTTGTTAATCACAATCCTTTCAATGGCGATAAATCGAAAATGCAATTAAGTGACAGCTCTATTGATACTGCGAGACACTTAATTCCAGCATTTTTTCAGTGTGACCAGCTGATTCTCTCCCGGAGTTACCCCTACTGACTCTCATCTCTCACATGTTTTTTTTTACTCTAGATTGGCACTTATCAGACGCAGCATTTAATTCAACCTCAATAGCTCAGCAGATTGAGAAGCTATTGTAAAAGTGGCCGCTGTGACATATGTCCCGTACGGCAGATCATGTACACAATTATCCTGAAAATTGTCTCAGTAAATCAGCACCTGCTCTTCTGTCAGTCCCTTGCAGCTACCGGACCTTGACTGCTGCTGCTGGTGTTTCTGCACAGGCCTCCAGCCCCTCTCTCTTATTTTGCTATGCTCGGCCGCCTCCCTCCCTTTATTTTTACCCTCTCCCCGGTGGACGCCCTGGTGTCAAATATTCCCGATGGGAGAAAGAGCAGAGACAGCAGCAACCAACAGGAGCAGAAACTATCCAAAGATCACAGATTGACAAAGAATAAAGGGTGGGGAACAGAACAAAGGTGTGTGAGAGGGAGGTCAGCTTTTAATGAAAAGAGGCTGGCAAGATGAGGAGATATGCATTATGTTTATGCCCTTGTAAGAGTCAAATAGTTCATCTGCATTAAGCCATTTAAGCAAGGAAAAGTAGCCAATACTCATCCAGGTGTATATATGACAACTTGGAAAGGATCTTGAACAGGGATTCCTCAAACAACCGGTAAGTTCGAAACTGAAGAGAATCAGCAGTAGAAACTAATTTAATTGGTTGACTTTGATACTAAGAATATTAACATGCAGAGAGAAAACCCCAAATATATTTGACCTATATAAACTTGTGCTGCCTAAAAATAGACTATTACTTATGACGCTAGACCAAAAAGGCCCAAGTTTATCAGGGAGCAGAAATACTGGACTGCAGAACAATGGAAAAGGGGATTTTTGTCTAATTAGTCCAGATTCACCATGTTTTACCCCTATGGGTTCTTTCATGTAAAGAGTAACGTCTTTTCAGCTTTCTGTTCAGTATCGTGACCTCAGCATGCTCCCGTCCATCAGGCCTAGTTTCAGCAACATGAAAAATTTGGTCACATGCATTTTCCAGTGGGACAACTCTTGAGATCCATCTGTCCGAAATTGCAGCGGACGGTTGTGGGAATTAAAACTTCATTTTTACGTACAGATGGCAAAAAAAAGAGTCCAGACCTTGAGTCCTTTGTGACTCTTTTCGATTGTGCTAAAGATGTCTTTACACAGAGGTCTGACTCTCCTATTATCAGTGCCAAAGATCTTGCCAAAAAATTAATGCAACTCTGGATGGAAATAATGTTTTGACGTTGTATCCACTTACTGAAATGATGCAACAATGAATGCCAAAGCTAAAGGTGTACACCTTCCTCCTAAATCAGCTTTCAAAAGGCGCAGGGAAGGCCAGTTTGGGGGATTTATTGACTGCAGCCAACTGAATCCCCATCCAAGTTTGCAGGAGACACCACAGTGATGAAGCTGTAGTTCCTCTTTATTGTTACTGATCTCAAATGGGATTATATCAAATTACTGTTGCACAGACGTTCGTTTTACATATCTGGTTGTTTGGACCATACTCCACTATTTCATGAGTACGTTTGTTCTCTCTCATTTCAAGGAATATCCCAATCTCCCGCACCCCCCTGCGTTGCTCCCATCATTAGCATCTTTCGTGAGCAAAATTATGTCAATTAAAAGTGAACCAGTGTGAGTTCAGAAGTTGGTCATGCCACACCTAAGCATGCAAAAAAGATGTAATCATCTCTGTAATTTGGCATAATGACTTCAAGAACTTCAAATCAAATAGCGGGCGTCAAATAACTCGGCTAATCAGGGCTATGTCATTCATTTTCATTTTGCTTTTAAACATTCACTGCTTTAATAGCTGTGCTGAACTGGTGTATTTTTCTCATTTAGATGGAATGTCAGGATAAAATTCCCCCCTAAGAACAGCTTTGTGCTGATCCCTTTCACTCACATTAGCTCCTAGTGATCAAGCAGCTAATACTCTGTAAAGTTTTATGGTCTGTGATGGAAATTCGGGACATCACTTTGGAATGGATATCGACATTCATGAAAGGAGAATGTTCTGATAATCACACCCAGCTTTGTTTGATTATAGTGTGTCTGACAGGTTGCGTTAAATGTACTCGGCACATCACGGATGCCTCAACAGTAGCGCTTGTCAGCTTTATGTTCAACGACAAGGATTTGTCTCAGTAACATCACTGAAATGACTTCACGCACGGATTGAAGACAGATTCATTCTCCGAGGAAAGTGGAACTGTTTTGTGAAAGTAATCCTTAGCGCTTGTGTTTTCCTTAAAAGGAAGGACCCATCTCGGTCTCTACTTTATGGAAGCATGTGTCTTTGGATCTGAGAACTGTTTTGACGTATTTTAACTAAAGTTCACAATTTAATCCTATTAAACAAACTGAGTTCAGAATAAACAGTTCTGAGTGATTCGACCTCTGATTCCCTAAAGGCAATCAACACAATGGGTGTAAAGGGGTGTTTGAAACACTCATCCCTTCAAGCGTTACTGAATTTGACGTTCATCTTTAGAAACGAAGCAATAAAGTGGGGCATTCAGTCATGCTACAGCTGGTATGGTCTTAACAGATTAAAGATATGTACCCAGGGTCCCCTAACAAATGTCCGTGCTTGCTTTCATAATGGGTTCATTAGTGAAACTCTTTAAGCGTGGTCTCAGAGCAGCATGCATTCGTTATTCTGTGGTTGTTGTTACACTTGTTGTGGGATTGTTGTTCTGTGTCAGGCAAGTACATCATTATCCCTTCACGCCGACAGATTAGCTTGTTGCACACAGCCTCTTCTCCAATGTGTCTTTTTCTCGATGAGGTGGCCGGGGAAATGGGGGCAGGACAAATGCTGGTTAATACCACAAGTGTCAGGATCCACCTCCAGTGAATTCTTATCCACCACCCATTTTAACATGTAATTTGCAAGTTAACTACATGCACTCAAACCAGTTAAGGTGGAGCTACGGAGAAGTGTCTTGTTTTTTGTTCTCATCATCAAGCGGCTTCATGACTGCATTCATTGAAACTCATCTTGATGACAAGGAAATACTCGAAGACATCAGCTGGTGGTAACTTACGGAAACTTAGCTCATTGTTGGCCCATAGGTGAGCATCCATCATCAATGAAACCCTCACACACTGAAACATGTTATTTCATGTCATTTTTCCAGCTTGGGATCACAAATATATCTCTATCTATCTATGTAAGGAAACATGTCATTTGCAATAGCTTTACCCTGTCATTTTATGTAAATTTCTTATGATTATACAAAATATTTGCAGTTATGTAATAATTATTGTGAGCAAAATTGAGTTTAATGGGAAACATTTGCCCAGCTTTAATGACCCCTGAAGCAAATTAATCAATTTTCTACATTAATTAATTAAATTTGGCCCAAAATGTCAACATTTGAAATGGTGGTTTAAGAGACACGTAATGACTCTTTGTGTGTTTCGTGGCATTATTCAAGTTTTTTTTTAAATAGGGAAAATAATGAATAGGAAAATTATGCAGGCCGTTGACTTCCTAACATCTTCCAAGGGGCATCGTAGACCAGATTTTGCTCTTTCATTCCCCCTATCCGAGGGTTGCAATTTCATTATCACCTTAAAACTAAATGATAAAATCGCACTGAACTGTTTTTTTGTCAGCGAGACTTTTCTTTCACACAGTGCTTCTCATTCATGCTCCTCCGACCTGTCAGTCGTGCCTGTTCCCCCTACTTTTTATTTTCCATCGTCAGGCAAGATCACTCACATACACATGCAGCTTAAAAGAGGGAGCAGGCAGGTCAAACGCTCCTGTGCAACTGCTCTTACTCAGTGTTGGAACTCTGGGATGACAAGCAACCAAGCATGAACCACCACTTAAACAAAATCCCCAAGAGTGAGTTGGTGTCTGCAGTCACTTTGTTAGTGGAGCATTTATGTCTCAGGTCACGAGTGTCGCAAGTGGTTTGAATCACCACAGCCATACATCATGTTCACAAATAGCTCTGAATGTGAAATTTAGGCTTCAATGTATGCAGGAAAGATGAGGAACGGGATTTTAATTCCTTTTGTTGGAGCATCTCGACCTTTTTGTGTACCTTCTTACATCCCTATTTTGACGTGCACATCCATCAGTTCTGAAATATCACCCGTACTTAAATGTAAGCGTGTGAGCCGTGCTTTTTATTTGATTTAGATCTCAGGACTTATAACTGCTCTGTCCATCATTTCTCTGTGTGTGGTGTTGCATTTTTGTGGTAAGTTCTTCACTGGTATTTTTGTGTGATGGTGAAAAGGAAAGCAAATGGTCTATTCTTAAGGAGCCAGAAGATTTCATTCAGGAAACGGCAATAATGATATTCAAAAGAGGTGCATTTATGTGAGCAAAGGAGATTGGTTAGAGGAAGAGGTAGAGCAAAAAATGGAAATTCAGAAGGAGAAAGGAACAACGTGCAAAGCAAGGTTTGTGTCATTTTAACGATATCCACAGTCTCTTTTGGGATTTCTTCGGAGTTCGGGAAAGTATCTGTTTGTCATTTAGATGAAACAATCCCTTGGCCTCCTGTTGCTGCACAGTAGAGCACTAAATCATCCTGACTAACTTCGCTTCCCCCTCCCGGAGATTCTCAGCGAACGCTGACAAAAAATACTCCCCCATCGCTGCCTCGAGCTGCTGCTCAGTGCCTGAGAGTGGCGACCAGAGCTGTGCGCAATCCAACTCTCTCCTCCTTTCGAAGTCTCAGACAATCTGCCGCCTTCGGAGCGCGCACAGGCGAATGTAGTCTCATTCCCTGTGACTCCAGCTGGAAGAAAAAAAAAACCGATGTTGACAGTGCGCACCGGCGTCCCCCCAAAATGTGCCAGTCCTCGGGATCCAAGTCGAAACCAGGTTCCCTCGCGGAAACTATTCTTGAAACGCACCACCTTGCACGGCTTGAGGCACATCTTCTTGAGCGGCTCGTACCCCCGGAGGGTGGCGTGGCTGCTGGCGTTCCTGGCGGCTCTGGCTCTGCTTTTCACCTGGTCCTCCAACCGGGTTCGGTACCTGCTCTCGTCGCCCGTCTACACCAAGGCGCACATGGTGTACGCCAAGCGCCTGGTTTTCCCCGCCGTCACCATCTGTAACCAGAACCTCCTGCTGCCGCGGCGCATGAAGAAGACGGACATATTCAGCGCGGGGAGGTGGCTGGGACTTTTGGGGAGGAACTGGCAGGTCTCCCCCGCGGCGAGGGAAGCGCTCGTCACTCTGCGGGACGAGGGCGCCGGGAGCGCGGGGAGCGAGCCGCCCTGGTCCCCCCTGTCGCGGATTTTGGATTTCAATCACTTCCTTCCCCCTCCTCCGGAATCCCAGCCGTCCATGAGGAAACTGTTGGACCGGCTGGGACACCAGCTGGAGGAGATGCTGCTGTACTGTCGGTACCAAGGAGAGCTCTGCGGGCCGCGTAATTTCAGCACCGTGAGTGTGTCTCTAAAGTTGTCTTTTTTTTCTCCCACCGTAAGTTCTTCAACCCCCATCCCAACAGGTTGATGGAGATTTCAGAAAGATCCAAGTAATTACCGTCCAATCTTTTGATTTGTCACGGGAATAACGATCTGTTCCCTTTGCTTTGAGCACGTTTTCCCTGCAGTGCACGGGTTAATGTTCCTCTGCTGTGCATCATGGTGATGCGGCTCAGTTGTTCAATTAACTCTTAAGCTCTGCTCATCATGTCACAGATTGATGCCCTTATGTTGTATCTAAACTCAAATTGCTGCTTTTATGTGAACGCAGCTGTGATAATGTTCTTTAACTGGCTTAAAGAGATTTCAAATGTGTGATTTCACAATGTTTTAATGGAGGCTGGTGGTTTCTCAAATCTTAGTTAATCATGTTTGTGAATTTTGCACAAAAATTCCAGAGTTTAGTGTTTTCCACTGGGGACGTTTGCTCAACCCAGCAGTCTTCTGATTTGAATTTTCCCCCCTCCATCCTCAATCACTGCTGGATCAATCTGTGTACACTCCTGTGCTCACGAGAGACCAATATGCCTCTAATGAAAACTTTTGATTCATTGAGCAATTCTTTCCTCTCCTCGATGGGGTGATAGAATACGCTTATTTAGAGCGTAGCCTCATTGATTTTACTTCATTAATACATTGATAAAAATGGGAAACTCAATCTTCCTCTCTCTCCCACCTCATCACCCAAACAAACATATTTTTACTGCTGATTGATGCCTGGGAATTAGGTTCTTATATCACCGGACAATGAAGGATTGGGAATTATCCGATATTATGGGGACATTTCTGCTTTTAAACTGCTCTCTTACATAGCAGTTCTCGGTTCATTGTCATCAGTGTAGTGGTACTCTGAAACCTATTGTTTACTCTCTTGAATTTAAAGCAATGCTCCTAGAAACCAAACTTATCACAATCAAGCACATTTCTCTCTTAGAAAATCACTCCAAATGTGTTCTATTCAGTGGAGTACTTCTTGGGGCAAACCTATTTCAGAGAAAAACGTAATGCCAAAGTCTGTTAGGGACTGTTGGGGATAAGTGTTTCCGCATTGAGAACCAATTTTTCCCCCCATGGCTTCAAGGCAGGAAAGACAAGCAGCCAGCGTGAGTCAGACCAGTGGAATCGGTCACAGCTGAGATCAGAGGTGGAGGACGATGGCAGGTTTGTCCAGATACAATAGTTGTCAGAATGTATCGAATTCCGTGCAAGAATCCCTGTCCCCATGTTTCTGAATCTCTTTGGCCAGCTCTATAGATACGGTCCAACGGCCTCATCAATACACCCCTCCTGCCACCAGTGGCTCCGTCTGTCTTTAACCCGGCTCTAACAGCACATGCTTAACTCTCATCAGGCCGGTCCTGCTGGTTGCCAACATTGATTTTGGGTTAGAAATCCATCTGAGAAGATGCTGTCAGCCTGTGTCTCCCCAGCATACAACCCCACTGAATGACAATTATCCTCTCAGCTTTCGTAAAACTTTCTGTCTTTTGTGTAAGTATATTTAATGTCTTTTTTCACATTTCTAAAATTAATGTAATGGGCAGTTTTCATATTTGAACTTATGGGTAAGACATCAAGACCAAAACTCTGAAAAGCATGAAACTCTCAAATCCATTTTTCAGAACCACAGCTCCTGGGACTAACCATTTTGGTCCTTTATTCTTCTTTTCGTTTCAAACAGCAAGGTAAAAGTGTGCCATTGCTTATACAAGCGCTCATTTGTTGGGGATTTGCAAGACGCACGACACAGAGTAAATATGTTACTGTCACAACACCTCTGAAACTCGGCAAGTAATTTGTTAGCTGTTTTATCTTGACACATCCAGCAGACGGTTAGAGCCCACTTTACTTTATCTTCTCTCCTCACCCACCTCAACGCTCTGTTTTGGTTTAAATTGTGTGCCGTGTTTGGTGCTTGTTGAGCACTTTGGAGACATAGTTTTAACCTAAAACCCGAAATTTACTGCATCTGGAAATTTTGAAATGATTTAAAAGTCCTCTTGAGAGCAGTTACTGGGTTTTAGGTTCATTTAGTTAAACCTATATGGCCATTTTGTCATTAAAAGGGGCATTTTCTCTATCAATTCCTTCACCATTAAAAATATTAACTGTTTTCAGTGGGCACCAACTTTGATTTCAATGTTGATTACTGGTGAACATCTGAACTTATTGGAGCACTTTTAACCCAACTGTAGTGCTTTGATGATATTTTTATTTACTGTTCATTTTGGGATTGAAGATGCGATTGTACCTATTCTAACTCTACTGTACCCACTGGCTGTTGAAACAATGTCCACACACAAACATCACTCCAACACATAACGAGTCTAAGACTTAATTAATTTGGTAATGTGTAGGCAGCATGCTGCCTACACATTTTGACAAAGTAATTCTTAGGCTTTTCAATTCAGAAACTGAAGAAGAAGATATTAGTGGTTTTAGGGCACAGGAAGAAGATGGTGAGGGCGATTAATGACTTTTCATAGTAGGCTAGATGTTCCAGGCATTGCTCTGAAAAAAAAGCATGTACGCTTAGTATTACAGCTACAAATTTAATTAAAGTTAAAACCGACCCTGTTACAGACACTGTTTGGGGGGGAAAAACACCTGGGGTATATATTTGCTTATGTTATTATACATATTTAATTAAAACATATTTTTGAGTAAATATCTCATTTTACAATGTGGACACCCGCGGCTTATAAACCGCTGTGGCCTATATCTGTATAAAATACATTTTCTTTCTAAAACTAGGGGATGCGGTTTCTACTCAGGTGTGCTCCCTAGCCCAGAATTTTCGGAACTTTTTTCTTCCTGACTGACTGACTCAGCTCAGTTTTTTAGATCACAACAAACACCTTTTTTGCAGATAACATTTGGAAGTGATAGAGGGGAAGAAACTGTAAAGGCAGCAAAAAATATATCACATCAAGGCAATTCTTTTGGAGCTTTCATATCTTATGGCCCACGTAACCTGTTCAATCAGTTACTGTGGAATTTTTTTTTATTGAGAGTTTTATTGAGAGTTTCCTCAACCCAAGGACCTCTAAGACTTCTCAGAATTGTATACAGGAGTTAACTGAAGTTAAATATTTGTTTTGAGCCTTGGAAAAAGTGGCAGACGAAAAAGTCCTGTATGAAGGTCAGTTTAAAATCTTTTCAGTTTTCTCATGAGCAGATGAGGATTAACTAACTTTTGTGATAGCGCCAAACATCCACTGGATAGAAACCGAGGCGTTTCTAGAATGTTTTACATCTATTCCTTTTAAATAAAGCATAAAAACAGAACTGCCACACATCACAATCTACTTATGGGTTCTTGTTTTTGAACAGAAATCACTGAAGAATTGTGTTTCATCATGAAAGTATGATTTCATGTTTACTTGGATGAAAATAAGCAGCAGATAATTTCCCTCAGATGTAGGGTTTTGCAGCTTATTGCATATTTGAGCTCTGCACTGATCTTGAAATCAATGAGGGAGGGAAAGTGGTTCCCTGGCAACTTATACAGAACAGCTTGTTCATCCTTGTAACATTGTCATGTGAAAGATAGCTCTGGGCCATCTCAATAGTTCCAGGCTGTCTGTCAGTGAATTATTTATCAAAAAGAAAGATGGCAACATTTTTAACACCATGGGAGGGCAAGAACGGGCCATGTCTCTCTTTTTTTTTACATAAGCTGACTTGAGATATGTATTCATTTAATTGTGAAGATATAGTGGATCTTATTTGAATAGGGGTTTATCGGGAAAAGTTGCTTTGTGGTAACAGATATTTGCTTTCCCCAATTTTCAATGTGTACAGTGTAAGGATAATAAGTTAAAGATATTTCTACACACTGTAGAACATGTTAGTGCTGCCCTTGCAACTCAATTAAATTTAGTAATAAGTCATTTACATGCTCTATTTTATTAGTAAGCTTGTGTTTTGTGCCACGGGCTGAACTACACCAAGCTCAAACTAAATTGTTCAGACGCTCACAATGCACATAAGCCTCCCATAAGCCAGACAGATTAATGAAACCAAAGAGTTTGACACACTGATAAACATGAAGAAACAATGGGGAAAGATGTTTAGCTCAGTGAGTTGTGTAGACAGTCTGTGTATGGAGGCCCCCTCCCACACCCACACACACACACACACACACACACACCCTTCTCTCTCTCTTTTTCTTTTGTGGCACTTTTAAATAAAGACCACTAGAGCCAAGAATTTTTTTTTTCTTTTTTTAATAGAGAAAAAAAACAAGATAGAGTGAGCACAAACGTCAGACATGCACGGCGCACAATGAAAATCCTGACTCCCCAAGGTCACCACCGGCACCCACAGCTCTTCACTCAATGCAGGCAGCACAATCTTCTGGTTACCACAGCAACTCTGACTACAGGCCTCGTGTAGTCAATCACTATATTACAAACACATACACGCAGATGGCGAGCAGGGCGGCGGCACACATGCAGGCAAATGCTGCCGAATCCTAATCATTCATATCTTTTCACAAAATATTTCACACTTGCAAGCATGCACAAAATAAAACGAATAAAACCCACAGCCAGCCGCACCGCTCCAACAGTCTTATCGCTGTTTTTCTTGATGCATATCTGCTTCCAATGCTTCCTTTGCAGAGTGAGCTGCACGGTTGCTTTACTGTGTTCAAACTTTTCCTCTCGATGAAAAAAAAAATTATATGCGAGTTTTAACCTTAAAAAGATAGCTAATCAAACAGGTTGGCTTTAGACAGGCTTCCTGTTATAAAGCTCTTAAACTAAAAACAAATATCTTTTTACCTGCAGGTTTATTCATTTTGTTACTGTCAGATATTCTCCAAGACAAATAGACGTGGCAAAGTTATATTGTATGATTTGTTTTTTTTCCGCCTCACGTCCCAAAGAGAAATGACAAACTCTGATCTGATTATGGTGAGATACAGCTCCGGGACAGAAGATGAATTTCAAAGGTACTTTATTGATATTTGTATTCTGCACATAAGTCAGGATTGTGGGCTGTTTTTTGGCTCAGTTTGGCCACTCGTGCTCTTGAAAGGTCACATCTTATACGGTTCGCAACTGTCCCAGGTCTTCTTATTGTATTTCACCACTTCTTGTCTTAAAAGCGCCTATATAACTGTGCCTTTAGAGGTAATCTGTTGTGATGCAAGCTCGGCACGGTTCTACACACTCCAGTGAACAGGATTCACATTATTTCAACTTCTTTTTGTGTGTGATACATAGCCGCAATTTTTTCTGCCCCTGTGCATCTGGTGTTTTTGGCATTTGAGTCATGAGGCACCAGTAGCTGACTCATAAGTCAGGCATATAATAAACGCCTTCTTATCTGCTATCAAGGTCCTCACGATGGATTGACAATAAAGGAAAACTACAGTATTTCTGTCAAATCTCTCCAGTCTGTCCTGTCACCAATTTGACTAAGAATGCTGTAGCATTGTGAAAATCTCAGATTTTAGTGCAAGAGTCACTAATACAAGACTATTTATTCCACAGATTGCTTTTTTCAGAATAATCTGCAAAACAGCCTCTGCTCTTTCCTGTTTTCACGTGAATGCTAAAATGTTAAAGGTTAATTCCAGGTTAATTGTGTGCTTAGGTGCTTCCGCGCATATCTCCGTATCACCAGGCTTGACAGCAAAGCAGCATTTAGTGTTGGATGGCAGACAAGCATTTCCCTTTCATGATGTTTATGATTAGATACATTTTTCATTAGGTCCCTGCCAATCATGTCATTGGCACATCTGCTACATGCCACAGCAGTGGAATTTCTGCTCACGGAAGATACTTGATCAGCCACCCATCTTATTCATATGGAGCGAGTGGATTGAGACAGTACAAAAGAACAAAAAAATACAATGAATTAATTGCAATATGAAATAAAAGGTGTAGTTTTAACCCAAAAAGCAATGTGCAGTCATTATGCCTTGAAAATAGTCAAATTCATTATGAATAAATAATTTTAACGTATTAAAATCCAAATGAGTCCAATTTATATCATGCCAATTTATACTTGGCCTTCTAAGGAGAGAAGCAGACTGAATAAAATATTATGTTAGATTCAATCTCCTGTGCTGATGTATGAGGTGAAAGTGGAATGGAAAATCCCCTTTTAACATGAAATAACAGACTTAAAATGGGCAACATCTGCCTTAAAGAGCTGAAGGAAAAGGAAAGATGTGACAGAAATAATTCCATTAATTCATACACAGCTACAACATCACAGTTACCAAATTATTTGCAGTTATTGATTCAATGAAACAACGTTGTGTTGTAAATTAACAGATTTACAAAGTGTTCAAACAATAGGCACAAGCAGTGTACAGCTCATTTCATTCTCAAGTACTTGTCAGCCAATATTTATCACATGCAAAAGTTCAAATAAATTCAAATCCCCATTTGGGAAATATTTGTTTTGTTTTATATAAAAAAAAACAGACTTTGCATCAAAATATACAGTTTAAACCAATGAACAAGTCTGTTGAACAAAGTGGGAATTTCTTATATAATGAGTTTCACTTCAATGCAAATGTGTTTTTTATATATAAGGTTGACAGACTTATGAATAAATTAAAGTTTATGGGGATGCTTTTTGCATTTGAGGTAGCTGCCCTAGTTCAGGGAGCCGTAGATGAGAGAGGTTTTGTGAACCAACCTTTGAACAATACTCTGTATTCAGTTTTAAGGGAAGGTTAGTCATTTTTACTCACCAAGATCCCCTAATTTTTGGACCCTGTTCATATTTCGAAGTTTTTGTGTACATTAAAAGCCCTTTATCATGCAGTTCTCGAGAACTAAATATGTAAAATACACACAAGATATCACAGCTCGCTCAGAATTTAATATCCAGATGTATGCATCGCTGGTTACTTGTGTGATCTGTTGTTAAAGTATAGTGCCCTATAAATAAATCAGCTCATTTTCACATGAAGACTGAAATGTTCAATATTTGACATGATGAAAATATCTGCTCTTTTTAATCTTTGTTCATTTTAAAATCCCAATTTCAACAATATATTGATCGATTAAGCTTGAAAAGCTTTTCTTACATCTTTAAAGAATAAAGGGAAAAGACACGATGTCTGAACTGGGAAAATAACTCAACAATCTTTTGAATCATTTTACAATTTTTCACTGATGTGTTGTGTGAAATGTGTTGAGCAGGGGTCATCACACTCTGAAACAAATCATGTCATGTTTACTCAAGCACAAACCACATCCTGCAGTACTTAGAGTGGTGAGGGTTCAGTGTGTCGGAGGGGTCTCTGGATTAAAACTTCAGAGGTTCTTGGCTGACTCCTCAACAGGAGCAGATTGCAGCAGCTGTTTTGAAATCTCTCTTTTTAAGGATTAAACTCGCACAGCAGGAAGCTTGCTTTTCGTATCATTAGATATGAGAGCTGCGGAGACTTTTTGGAGCTAAAGTTTCTTTCTTCTGTGTGTTGCAGATATTCACACGCTATGGAAAATGCTACACGTTTAATTCGGGCCAAGATGGACGACCCCTGTTGGTGACGATGAAGGGTGGGACGGGCAACGGCCTGGAGCTGATGTTAGACATCCAGCAGGATGAATATCTGCCTGTTTGGGGAGAGACTGGTAAGATCAACCGCAGGACGTTTGTCATCCTGTAATTTTCAGTATTTCTGACCGACAAAGTTTCTAATCCCTCATTCTTAGACTTGACTAGGCCAAACTGATGTTTACTTCAAAGCCTTTAATTGCATTTTTTACACAGTTCAACGCTTTAGACCAAGATTTACGAAGAAAATTCAGAACTGTTATCCTCTCTTTGATTAGTTATGATAATCCTGAGGGGTATCCAGTCTGATCATTAAAACTTCAACCACCACGCCCCAAGATATTTTCCACTAATCTGCAGAAAGACAAATTGATATTGATCAGGAAAATTTTATTCCGTTGTAATATAATTACATCCCTTGTCATTTTGGCCCCAAGGCCACATGAATAAAATATGAGAACAGCCATTTGCTGGATGCTAAATCAATTGCAGCTGTGCTTATCCATTGAGGGTCGACCCTCATCTGCAGAGTCGCCCAGTGTTGCTTTAAGGGGGCCTGAAACTTCTATTCTAATTCAAATCAACATGCCACTCTGTGTTTGTATCAATACTTGATGGGCATGAGGAAATAAGTCCAATGAGGCAGTTCAGTGTCACAGTAAGATTGTGTCAATTGCCATAATAAAATAAGAGGAACATTCCAAAAAGTAGTCATCTCCCTTTATATTTACTAATTCCGTATTGGAAGATTTAGATAAGTTGATATTAAATGGTCTTTTTGGCCTTTAAAGTGGGGAGTGAAGTGGTGAAAACGCATTAAGTACAGACTATAAATTTATAGAAATGTTTATCCAGACACACTGAAAACAAAAACAGATTTCTTGAAATTTGTGTTAGATATTTAAGTTCATAATACCTAAGAACAATTGACCACTCAGCGATTAGTTAGACCATTTGTTTCCTGTTTGTGTACTCTTGCCGGGTGCCCTGAACTGCATGATGTGTCGGTTTAAACACTTCATGCTTCTCCTTGCAACAGCTATAGAATAAAAAAAGGAACTATCAAAAATCAAATACCCTTTCCTAGAATGATCAATTACAAACCAAACTTCCTCAGTGTTGGTGAGCTTATAAGAAACACCTTTAGAATGGTAAACAGAGTCAATCACTGGAAAAAGGATGCTTGTAACCAGGCACCGCTCGACGACTCAGAGGCTGAATCAAGGTCAACGAAATGTTTTTCAAGATTGGGTAAACACTGAGTCAGCCTTTGATTGGATCAGGGAAACCTTATCTGACAAGAAGAGGCCGAGTCAAAGAAAAACGTCCAAGAAGAAACAGGCCGAGATCAAAGCCAGCAGGGGTCTAAAATCTGGGCAAAATGGTTGAAGTACTTGTCACTGAGGGCAAAGACAAACTGGTACTGTGAGGGGGGACCACCCATAGGAAATGAAACCACTTCATGCAGGCGTGCTTCTTGATGCGGTCTGCGATACTGTGAAATCGATTGTTGTGCGGTAGAACTGGCAATATTGTGTCGCATCTCCCTTTTCTCTTACAGAAGAATGAAGAGAAAAGTAAATTAGATGTTGGTCATTGTGCTTTACAAATCCCTTACTCTTCTCGATTCCCCTTGATATATTTGTAGTTAAGAATATCTGGGAAATAACTTTGACACAGTGATGTTCCCATTTAAGTGTGTTCTTTTAATGCTATTTTGCACCAGGGGACACAAGAGGGAGGACCGATCTAATACATTTTGCGTGCTAAATGTTTTCGTTTTTAGTTCATACCATGCATTTTATCCCCTGCCAAAATACAACATTTTCCTATCATAGAGATTGTTTAATCATAGACCAGAAAGGGTGTTAGGAGAAGGGGGAAATGGAGGAACAAGCAGCTGGACTGTCAAATTTTAGTCAACACTCTATTTTCATGTGGTGTGCACATTTAGTCTAAGGTCTCTTAGCATTAAAGCAGCATAATGCTAACCTTGATGTCGTTTTAATGCCAAACGCTAACTACAAATTGGCATAAGAAATTTTGAAATCCTGACCAGTATGACCATTTCATTAGATTGGACTCAAACATGGTGCTCAGGTATGCTCAGTACACTGTGCTGTGTCAGCTTAAACCTCCCTCCTACCTCCGTGGAAGTGTTTGAGTGCACACTATAATTTTTGTGACAGTTTTGCATTATGCAGTACCAAGACATTCTCAGTTTGAAAACACAAATCAAGACATGCAGTTAATTTATAGAACAGGTGGTGCAGAACTTTTACAGCTGTATTTCCTTTTTTTTGTGAAATGGCCATATTTTGCGATGGATTTCGGAGTACATGGAGTGGTGTTTCAGTGTTCAGTGTGGCAGCTGAATACACTATCTGGTTGACCCGATGTCTGACACCAGATGACAAAATGCTTTCTTTAAACTCTGCAAGCAAAAAAAATGTCTGAACTCGCCCAGTAAGAGTCACTAAAAGTTCATTGTTTTTCAAGCATGTGGAGAAGACAGGCCACACAATCTTTTCCATTACCCTGTTAAAAGCGGGTCCTAAGATATTGAAAAGTTATTCTTAATTCATTGCAAGATACCACTTAGGTGAATAAATTCTAATAATTTATGAGAGCCAAAGTCCAGTAGGGAAAGTAAAATATCCCACCATGCACCAGCCCTGAATGTCCTAATTGTCTATTATTTATATACAATATAAAAAAGCCTTTAAAAAACGTTTTAACCATCTGCTGCTTTAAAAAGCTTGATCAGTATAATTCTATTATTTCTTGTATAGGCTCTATTGAGTTGTATTGTAAAATGTTAGACATTTTACATTCATGTCTTAAAAAACTCAACTCTAAACTCATTTTTGTCCTCTAACAAATGATCTATTTGACAAAAGACTAATTCTGAACTGAACAGACCATATCCATTGCAAATGCAACAGAAAAGGTAAGTAGTTCTCTGAACAAAGAGTGGCAAAAGAACAGCAAAAACTAAATCCATTATCCTTTTTTTGGTAATGTTCATAAACATGTGTCTTTCACTGTCACTGTACCTAAAGCTTGGAAATATTAATAGATCAAAGTTAATGTGATCAAATTGAAGGGAGTTAAAAAAGGAAGGTGTGCACAAGACCAGCAGCAGAGTGAACTGCGTAATGGAAAATGGAGGAGAAGCCACAGCCAGAATTGCTTTAGAGATCCACATGATCCACTAGATGCAACTCAGTTCACTGACCTGGAGGATGAGTTGATATGGGTCTAAAAGGAGGATGATCCACCAGAACAATTCAAATGCTTAAAAGAGCAAGACAGCTGGAATTCATTTTTTATGAGAACAAGAAAAAGAAAGCAGCCTTCGGAAATGCTTTATTCTCAGATGAGTCTAAATTCAGCAAACATGTACTGGAAGGTAAGTTAGTGACGTGGAAGCCAACCGTACTGCGCTGGGGGAACGTCTCACTGTGCAGTCAGACATGCTTTTCTCCACATTAAAGTAGCCCACTGGGGGAATAAAAGGTCTTTCATTGACAAATATGGATGACCCGTTTAGGATTTAAAGCTGCTTGACACATTCATTTATAACTGACATATACACATGTACTTGTGTTTGTGTGTGTATATGTACAAGTTTTTATAGGATTCTTTACTGTTATAAATACATTCCCCTACGCAACATCCAAGAACACTCTCCATAAAGTCAGCACACTTATATCTAAGGCTACCATAAAGGGAAGACTTCAAAATATCATACAGTGTTTTCAGTACAATATACAAACATTTCTTACTGAGTCTTGAGAACAGAGAAGCCAGTCGAAGCTCCAACAAAAAACATCAGGGAAAAAAGTAGGAACATTTGGAACCGCATTGTTTGGGCTGACTGAACTAAGATAAACCTGAAATAGAATGGCGTCGGTTTTTCATTTGAAGCTTGAAAAAGAAGTAGATAAAATGTGATTGCATGTGCATAGATTGCTTCCAGTGGCCCAGGTAAACTATTACTTTTTAGCAATTGTCAGAAGCTGTTTGATTTTCTTTTTTTCTTTTTTTTTCTTACTGAATAGTGATAACCGTTTACAGAGAAATAGCCAACAACCAAAGAAGGACTGAAAGCAGCAGCAATAAAGGCCCAATAGACTCGAAAGCATCACAAAGATGTACAAGAGATCGTTGTACTTTTGGTCAGCTGTTTTCAGATGCTCATTCCAAAGAGAACATTCTATTTATGGGTAATATTAATTTAAGATAAAAAATTTGCTTAATTTTTTAATAATTTCTATGCTAAAAAACAAATATTTGAAATATATTCGGCTAAATTATGTTTCCTTTAAAGCTAAAATACTGAGAATAAAGCTAGTTTTAAATGTATATAAGTAGAGTTTAAGAGTTTTTTACTTGATCTTCATGTCTTTTTAATGAGAAAGGAAACAGAGGCTAATGAATTAAAGATCTGATCCTGGATAAACACCAGTGGATGGATGGATGGATGGATGGATGGATGGATGGATGGATGGATGG